GGTCATCTACTTATGGTTTTAAACTTATAGACTCCGCTAGGGAAGCCCGGGGATGCCGGGGATTTAAGGCCCTGAAATTAGGAGGAGGAACCTAAAACTTCTTGACGGTGCTTGAATATCGTGGATACTCTCACTCAGCTCAAGGATTTATCAACCGTACGATGCAACTATCTTATATTACAAAGACTAAGAAGTAGAAGAAGTTGGTTAACTTTTATGCCAATATCACGAAAAAAAAAATTGGGGCCTCCTGGTGGTCCAGTGGTCTAAGCTACGCACTTGGCTGCGGTTCAAGCCCCCAGGGACATTACAATCCAGATGATAAGAGATGATTAAGATTTCCAAAACTCAATATCCCATTCAAAACAAATCAAAATTCAGTGAGAAGCCATGTGTGAGAGAAGGCCCTGGTACTTGACCTGGGGGCGTACATTTAGGCACTTATTTCGAAGCCTGCTAGTAGTACCGTAGCAGCTTTGCGCTGCGAGAGAGTGGTAAAGCGAGGATGAACACTTGTGTAGTTGATAGCAAAACTCAGAATACATTCACAGCTTAAGCCGTCACGTGCCGAGCACGAGGTAGGGAAGCATCAAGCATAAACCCTCCTTTGACCACACAAGCATCCATCGAGCTTACGAGCCTATTCCCAGCTATACCAGGACACGACCATGACATTAGTGACTATGAGAGAGAGACTGATTGACCCTCTGTCGGAAACTCTCATATACCCAAGTGAGAGCAACCAGGAATAACCAGTTAATCAACTCAATTTCCTGAGTACTAATCACTCTTGCTATTCCATCTGTATCGGCCGCTGACGGCACACGTATTTGCTGTTCGTGTAAATTTGCACGAAGACACCAACACGCCCTCGCTCTCATTCACCAATTTGCGAGAACCTAGCAGTCTTCGCTTCGAAACAAACACAATCGTTTGCAACGCGTCTGTCTTGTGCTCTTCTCATTGTTGTTGCTACAGCCACTCTACTCACAAGCTGCTTACTGTAAAACCATTCGGTACTCGCATTGCATAACAACAGTACTTAGTGTCAGTACAGACATACTTGTCGAACTGTGGTCGGCAAATGTACTGATGCACTCTTTTCTTGATGTTGTACGAATGTTAGCCCAGGATACGCTCACGCATAATTAGTCCGTTGGCTGTCTATCCCTCATTCTTTGGTATTCCCAGTATAACGGACTTCCCCGGATAAGTTATCTTTTCAATGCATTTGCTCCGCACTGCACAATAGAATATCTGAATGAGAAGAAGTTATTCAGCGTACTTCTTGTTTCGACTAAGACAGCCCATTTTATTAAGTGAAAATTCCAATCTGGGACTCGATTT